GGTTTTAGTTCTGCAAAAGCCTCATGAATTATTTGATCCAGTCGTTGTCGGCTTAAAATGACTTAAAAAAAGCTCAAAATGGCTATAAATTTGATTTTCCAACATTCCCCAAAGAAAAAAGTCTGTAGGCATCAGATCCGGAGATCCTGGTGGCCACCTTACAGGACCATGTTTTTACAAACTGTTTGTTGGGTATTTCGCCTCAAAAAAAATTTGTTTTTAAAAAAGAGAATTTCGTCACGTCTTTTATTACATTGCTAATGTGATATTTAATTTTTTTGCAATTTAATTTTCCAACATTCCCCAAAGAAAAAAGTCTGTAGCTGTCAGATCCGGAGATCCGGGTGGCCACCTTACAGAACCATGTTTTCACATTGCCAATGTAATAAAAGACGTGAGGAAATTCTGTAGTTTTTAAGACGAAAAATGTTTGAGGCAAAATACCCAACAAACAGTTTGTGAAAACATGAATCCGCCTCAACAATATAGAAGTTATTTAGAGGACCATGTGTTTATATCCAATTTCTAAAGTGAGTAGGTATTCAAATACTTTTTGACTATACCATAAATAACAGAGCGTTTACTTCACAACCGATGCTGTAAGAATGTGGGCAGGGATCACAGACATTTTTCTCTATCTCTTTTGACTTAGCCATTTTGAAGCTGATAGTTTTTTTAATTTTCGCCCTCTATGTAGGTGTGTCTTAAGCGAGCAAAGAATTTCAAGTTTGATTTTCCAACTTCAAATTTTCCCTTAAAAGAGCACGACACTTAAACTACCTTCCTGATAACACTAACGATTTCTTTGTGTAGTACACGTGCAAAAGTTTAAAAATTTACAAACTTATCTCACTTACAAGGAGATTCAAAACAAGCCCATATTAACCGATTCGCTAAAACCGACTTGTGGAAAAAGTCCGGCTTTCTCTCATACCCAACAAGAGAAACACACTCGCTATCGCAAGTGCTAATTAGTTCTCGTTATTGTTATTGTTGTTCTCATATCTTCTGCGTATTATCGCCAACATACAGTGGGCATTTCGCTGAAAAATGCACTAATTGGTTTCTTCATTGGCTGTTCATCGATTGGATTACCCAACGCTGCGTCACTGTGTCGAGAAAGTTGGCCAAACAAACGCAACTTTCTTCTGTCTGCCCAGTGGCGGTCGTTGCGTTATCTGAGAATTTCATTCATTTGCAGACGAACTTGCGCAATGAATCCCCTACTGGTCGCCCTAGTGGCGGTCATATCAGTGGCGTGCTGCGCCGCCCAACAGGAATCCTGTTTTCCGCCCTTTGAGGGCCACCAGCCCAACGTCAACTCCTACAACAACCTCTATGGGGGCGAGCAGGATTTCTCCCTGGCGCTGCTGAACGCCATCAACAAGCTGATGCCAAAGCAGAATCTCTTCTTTTCGCCCTATTCCACCTACCACGCCCTGTTAATCGCCTATTTCATGGCTGGGGGTGAGACCGAGGCCTACTTAAGAAAGGTGCTAAGGCTCGGGGACAACCAGGTAAGCGTAGGCAATTGTTCAAAGGCTTAGGCTGCAACTGATGTATTGCTGCTCAGCAAAGATCCGATATCTACGCCGCCTACAAGCTGGACAGGCTGCTGACTGTGCATCAGAACGCCGCCTATGAGTTCACCAGCGCCAACAAGATCTACGTGTCTGATACCGTGAAGGTGCGGGGGTGTGTGAACGCAGATTTTCCCCACGAGTTGGAGAGCTACCCCTTTAAAAGCGATCCGGAGGGTTGCCGAAACTCCATCAACCAATGGGTGGAAAATACCACGCACCACATGATTACCGATCTGTTGCCTACTGGTTCCATCGACGCCAGCACCAGTCTGGTTCTGGTCAATGCGGCCTACTTCAAAGGCGTGTGGGAGAACAAGTTCAACCCCAACCTGACCAGGCCGGACATCTTCTACGTCAGCCCCACTAAGCAGATCATGGTCGACATGATGCATGTGGAGGGCAGCTTCAGGCATGGTGAGTTCCACTGCTTCAGCCCTTCGCCGCTCTTCTAATGCTCTTTCCAATGGATAGACATCTCGGAGACTTTGGGGGCGCACATTCTGGAGCTTCCCTACCAGGGCGACAACATCAGCATGTACATTCTGCTGCCGCCCTTCTCCAACACGGAGGATTCCATCGACGCCACGTTGAAGAACCTCAACTTGGTGAACTTCCGGAAACTGGTCGAGCGCGACTCGCTGATTTTCCGCACTGTGCAGGTTTCCCTGCCCAAGTTCAGTCTGGAGACCACCATTGAACTGGTGCCGGTAAGCTGGCGGCCTTCCAATCACACCCCAACCATTAATCGTGTGTTTGTGCGCTAAACTAACCAGTAGGGGAGAGGTCTTCCTCTTCAGTTGAATGTGGTAGTTTATGTTGGCGTTGACTGGCTTATTCTACTCCTCCTATTGCAGAGATGTTTTTAGTTGAACGAATAGCGACTGAGAGAGCCGCTAAAGCGTTCAATGGCAGGTCACGCAGATGATGACCGAAATTAGATTGGGGGCGGGGCTTGAAACAATTAAAGACCACAAACTCGCTCAAAAAACACTCTGGCGAAACAGAAGGAGTAGGAAAGAGCCAGTTCGCTGCCTCAATCTGTTGGCTTAGATGTGAAAGTGACTAACACTGGTCCTTTTTGCACGGTAGGTTCTTGAATCGCTTGGTGTTGGCAACCTTTTCAAAGAGAACGCGAACTTTCACACACTCACCAATGAGAAGGTGTCAGTGGGCGAGGGCATCCACAAGGCGAAGATCGAGATCAACGAGAACGGGGCCCACGCAGCCGCCGCCACCGCCTTCCTCACCTGGAGGATGAGCGACGACGAGGACGTGTTCTACTTCAGATGCGACCGCCCGTTCATCTACCTGATCTACAACGGGAAGACGCATACCGTGCTGTTCACGGGCGTGTTCCGCCGCCCTTAGGTGGAGGTGGGGCTGGTTTGGATGGGGGTGCGCTAGCCTTAGGACTAATACTGTCTAAATACACTGACACTCTGCACTCGTTGTTTGCTTGCCGGCCACACTCACTCGGGGGTTTTCTAGGTGCTCGAACAGATGGGCGTGGGCGACTTGTTCCAGAGCGCCGGCAACTTGTCGGAGCTGTTGGAGGAGGGCGAGGCCCAGTTGGGGGGGGCGCTGCACAAGGCCCGCATCGAGGTCAACGAGGAGGGCACGAAAGCGGCCGCCGCCACTGTCCTGTTCAGTTTCAGGTCAAGTCGGCCTGCCGAGCCGGCCCAGTTCAACTGCAATCATCCCTTCATCTACTTCGTCTACGACAAAGTGCGCGCCGCCATGCTGTTTGGTGGCGTGTTCCGAAGGCCCTACTAAGCCCTCTTGTGATCCGTTACTTGTAGGTCAGTCTTTAGTCTTTTGAATGTTTGTTTTTTGTTGTGGTGATGTGCTGATTGCGCCGATCACTTTCAATATACGCTTTTCCAGTTACGAAGACTGGGTGTTTCATTTCGCATTTCGCCAGCGCCAAATATTTGCCGCTTCTGTCCAGGGTTGCCTGGTCCGAAAATCGAGTTTCGGTAGATAAGCTCGACACTTTTCGACAGAAAATCGGTAGACTCATTTTTCTTTCATTATTAAGGGCCAGAGCTGGTTGGGTAGTCCAAAACCTCACCAAAAAAAAATACTCCATAAAATCGCGCGTTTTTCAAAATTTGAATTTCTAAACTTACAGGAATACTAAATACTAAAAAATTCTAAAAATGGTATAAAAATAACTAAAAATTCCGATCATCCTATTCAAGTACGTCGTTCTACCGCCCAACGAAAACTTTCCCAAATTCGTAGAACTCAGGGCTGGAGCTTATTACAAGCTCCTCCCTACGCGAAGAATCTGGGGTAAATTTGACTCAAACTCCACCCAACCTGGGGGTGGGAATCTGTCAATAAATAAGGGTGAAATCACGGGCAGTACTGTGAGTTCAAATTCGCATTAGAGCAGCAATTATCAATGTGATTTCGTGTTAGTGTAAAAATCAACATCAGGTGAGTTTCTCACAGAGTAGCCTTTTCAATACTTCTTATTGCTTTAACATTCAAGATAATGTTAAAGAGTGAGTTCTCCCACAGAGTAGCCTTTTCAATATTCGTTATTGGTTTAACATTCAAGATAAAGTCAAAGAGTGAGTGTTTCTTCATAGAGTAACCTTTTCGACTTCACTTGAACATTCACTTTCTTTAAACGTCACTTTACCTTTCTTCTGTTGAGT